AAACCTGGTTAATCAGTTAAAGTACAGTAAGATTTTTGTTTGTTATTTTTATTTTAAATTAATACTTTTATTTAGCAAGGAAGCAATAAATTATTTAAAAGTGACAGTAAAGATATTTTTATTGATGCGAAAAAATATCAACATAAATTAATTGAAAGTGACAGTAAAGACATTTTTATTATTGCAAAAATTTTTTATTTCTAATATTCTTTGAAAAACGTAAAAAAAAGTGAAATTTCCATAAGTACCACTGCATGTATTCTGATTTCTCATCCACTAAACATTGTCAGGAGAGATCTGGCAGCCTATCGGCCTGGACATTTTTTAAGTAGTGGAAATAGTAGTGGAAAGTAGTAAGGAAATTTGGCATGTCATCACAGATTCTCCATAACTTCTACAGAAGCACTGTGGAGAGTGTGTTAACTTGCTGCATTGCTGTGTGGTTTGGCAACAGCACAACACATGACAGAAAGGCTTTACAGAGAGGAATAAAGCTGGCCCAGAAAATCACAGGGACTGATCTCGCCTCACTGCAGGTCATATACAATAAAAGGATCCTGTATATTCTATATATTTTTTTACGTATTTTGTACTGTAAGTTATATTTGTTCCCCTTCTACCCTGTCATTCTCGAGAGGAGTAAACAAAGTAAGAATTTCATTGTACTCTAGTACATATGACAATAAAGCTCTTGATCTTGAATCTATGCTGGGATAAGTATGATTTGTATGTGTTTGTTTTCTCAATATGAGGCAAAATTATACTAAAGAATATTCTACACTAGGAATGTACTTATAATGCAAGCCAAGAGAATTACGTATTTCACTATCGGCCACCATTTATAATCAGATTACAGAAAGTGGTTCCGGTACCGCTGTCTAACATTCAATAATGTAGTAAGCTATTGTTTGCTGCTACAGTTTCATTTATCCTTTTTTATAATAGATGTGTCAGCAGATTTACACTTGCTCATGGCAAAACAATGTTTCACTCTGATTTTAGTGTTATTTGTTATTTATATAGTAAGGAAATCAAAGCCACATGTTTCCATTTACATTTGCCTTTCTGTTTGTCCAATTTCAGAGTACAACATCAGTGCTCTCGTGACCATAGCAACTAAAACCTTCCTGCGCTATGACAAGCTCCAAGATTTAGTTGACAGCATACGACAGTACTATCCAACAGTTACAATAGTGATAGCAGATGACAGTGAGCACCCAAAAACAGTGTCAGGCCCTTATATCGAACATTACATCATGCCCTTCGGAAAGGTGGGTCACTTCATTGAGAGTATGACACATTTCTGTCTGTGTTTTTCATGCAGTATGATGGGATCTGAATATGTATGTCTGTGTCTCAGGGCTGGTTTGCTGGTCGTAACCTGGCCGTGTCACAGGTCACTACCAAGTATGTGCTGTGGGTGGATGATGACTTTATCTTTACTGCCAACACAAAGCTGGAGAAACTGGTGGATGTGCTGGAGAAAACCACACTTGACCTGGTGAGAAAATAAATGTAGCATGATATGTAGAGTATGTGACAACTCTCATTAATGCAAGGGTTTTCTTAAGCACTGTGAATATTGTCCATCAAATAAAGACAAAACAACCAGTACATTTATAATTCAGTCTTATGTACTGAAGAGCCATTGCAGAGCCATTGTATGTGTTGAGTGGATCAGGTGCGTATCAAAAGCTTAAAAACCCCTTGAGGACTTTTTCCATTGCACAGGAAGCAAGGTGATTCTTCTGGTCCCTCTTGTGGTAAGGAACTTACACCTTTGGAACAGTCACAGTCCCCAGTTAAACCTTTAATCAAGAAGGCGCAGTCCCACCTCACGATATCCACAACAACAGGCTCAGTCTCTGTTAATTAATTATTTTTTTTAATTACCTACTATCTCTTTTTACTATATATCCAGTGGCACCAAAATATAATTGTGCATCTGTCACACTTAAATTATATGAATGATACTGTATCATGTAACAAAATATCAACGAAGTGGTATTTATATAAAGAAGTATAGCACAAAGACTGTTTAAAAATATATTTGGACGCTTTCTGGTTGTGTGTGGAATATGTTCATCAGTAATTTGTGGTTGTTTTTCTTGGACACATTTGCGAATATAAAGGGAACTGACTTCAAACACCTGCTAACACTAGTTGGTTAAAAATAATTGAAAATGTTATTTCTGTGGCTGGGTGATAAACTATCATTTTGATACAATTTATGTAGAAAACGATTATGAACTGTGGACTGTTTTACTCGATATAGATTAATCTAACAGCCTATCACACAGCAGAAGAAACATGACTACAGCCAGTCAGTTCATGTTGCTAATAAGTCTGCATGAATGAATGGTGTAGATTTGTCTACTGCACAAACTTAAATACATGATGCTAGCGGTATTTCAGCGTCTGATACCTCGGTATCTGAGGACATGAACACATGAAGTTCATTTCCTGAACTGTTCTGAGAGTCACTTGACAAGCTTTTTACTCTTTCATTTGAGAAAAACTACCGTCAAATACAAACTGAAGCTCAAAGATCTTCTCGACAACCTACCAAACATAAAAGTGCAGTTTAAAGCTGCAGTCCGTAACTTTTTTGGTTAAAAATTATTCGAAATCAATATTTGAGCAAGTACATAACCAGCCAGTGTTCAAAACTATCGCCGATTCACAACGGTTAACTTATAATAATGTTTTCTAATTTTAGTGGTACTGGTAGGAATTCGCAGGAAAATTGAGCATGCTGCCACGTCATTATGTCACATCTCATAAAGAACATAAAGAAGTTGTCCACACCGGCTAATAGACTACATCACACGTGAGGATGCTGCAGGTGGTGGATCGTTTATAGCCTTTTCTCACAGCAGCTGGAATAATTAAATGTATCATTTTGATGGCAGATTGTAAACCAGAAAGGATTATGTGTTTATGAAACACATGTGACTGAAAGTAAATTATATTCCAGTTTTAAATATGCATCTGATTACCGATAGCCTAGCTGGGATTACACAGGATTTGTATTTTAAAGAGAACCAGTTCGAAGGATGAATAATTTGCTTTTTGGTTAAAATAATTTCTTAATATGAAATTTCAATAGTATGACAATTAGATTAGACTGTACAGAAATTGAAATCTACACACTAATACACATGTAGTCATGCAATGCTGATGTTGTTAACATTAACAATTTGAGAATAAAGCATAACAATAATAATTTGCACGGTTTGATGTGATATGAGCTAATTAACCGATCGTTAGATTTAACCGCCATTGGTAGCGTGATTTATTGTAATGATTTTTTCCTCAGTTGGTCAGAACAAGTGTGGCAGACTTGTTACTTGTTCAGGTGACAACATCCAGTGAAAATTCATATTTGGGTCATATATTCTAAGAGGTAGGCTAGAATATGCGATTCTGAATTACAGTATCCACACCGGTGCGGTGACTGACAGCCACACATTCTCCTCAAAACAATAGATTAATCCGCGCTGGAGCAGTGCCAGCGCACAACCCACGTAATAAAGATAATTACATAAATAACTGCATTTGCAGGTTTTCAAACAGAGATGGCGACAAAGAGGCAAAACTTACAGACTGCAGCTTTAACTTGAAGAAATTATGACAAATATATTACTATTGTATACTAAAATGTAATTCTTAAAGCAACATTAATAATATAAGCATTTTTTAAATATACCAACAAGATTTTTTTCATCCATGTTTTCATTTATACAGTTCTGTTGTGCAGTATCTTAGGTAGCTACTCTGTGGAGTTTAATTGTGAATAAACAAGTTAGGGTTTACATTTATTCTCAAGGTCTAACAAACATGTGGAAAGCATTTCCTTCCCCATTAATGGTAAACGAATATCGTGATTAATATCTATATAGTATAATACTACTACTACTACTACTACTACTACTACTAATAATAATAGTAAAAAAGGCAAAATAATCTTCTTCAGATGTATGCATCAAAACAATGCCCTACCAGGCATCAAAGCAGTCAATACAGCACAGTCAAGAATAACTTAAAGAGGTCACCTGCGTTTACTAAACTATGGAGCTTTGACTCTTGTTGCTGATTTGAATGGTGATGCTTCCCGTTTTAAGCGACCTTTCATTTTTAACCAGAAACGTGCATGCTTTTCTGATGTTAATTTAAGTTAAGAATAAATAACTGAGGCATTTTTGTCCCATATATTGCTTTGGTTTATGTGTCTGTAGATTGTGTCAAGAACTGATACCATACAGGATGTAGTTGCACAACAGAACCTGTAGTTTATTACTCACTCGGTGCACCTCTATCTGCTTAAGCCTGTGTCCCTGCCCTCCACACCCGAACTGCCCGCCCAATCACGCACGGCACCAACCTTAAAGGGCTATGCAACATTTAACAACTCTACATCCTTTCCCTTAGCATGCAAAACATAGTAACATTGTGGTATATAAGAAAAAAAAACAAGAATAAGTGTCCTTAACCAGTTACATAGTCCTGATAACGTGGGTTGGGGCGACTGACTCCCTGAACAAGTCACTATTGGCTGGGCAATCTGTGCCGCAGTGCCAGTGGTGGGTGCTTCACTCTGAGACGGCAACACTGCAGATGACAGGGGGGTTGTAGGAGGTGAAGCTGGTGAAAGGGGGCTATAATCATCCTCTGCACATTCCGTAGGTGCAGGCTCTTGTACATGGAGAAGGAGACGTCGGTTTCTTGTGTACTGTCTGCTCTGAGATGTTACCACATAGCTGTTAGGCTGAGAAGCCAGGCCCTGTACAACTGCCAGTTTGTTGAAACCCCGAGCTGTCTGCATCCTTACTGTTTGTCCCTGTTGTAAGGGTGAAGGGGTGTGGGCTTTGCGGTCATAGTATGCTTTGCTCTCCTTTCTCCTCCTGGTTAACACAGCCTTGACGTCACGGCATACAGAGGGCTTCAGTCTGTCTTTCAGCTCCGGAAGAAAAGTTCTTGTACACCTGGAGAAGAGGAGCTGGGCAGGAGATGGCAGGTCAGCGTGTGAAAGATTACACAGATGGAGTAAGGCAGCCTGTATGTCACTGTGCTCTCTGTAACACTTCTCAAGCAGATGTTTGGCAGATCGCACTGCGCGCTCTGCAAGGCCATTGGACTGCAGGTATAGAGGGCTGCTCCGAATGTGCTCAAAATCCAATCCAATTGTCTGTCATGAGCGTCTGGGGAGTGCCATGAACTGCAAAGTGTCTCTTGAGTTTTGCAGTGACGGTGACACTCCTCATGTCAGATGGTCGAGCTTGAACCAAACAGAAAATGAGTCCACCAGAACCAGGTGCATTTTGCCATGCCATTCAAATATGTCAGCAGCAGTGCACATACAGGGAAGGTCAGGAACATTGTGCGGATACATGGGTTCTCTTGAATGATGGGACTTGAGGGCATTACAAGAAGCACAACGAGAGAGTGCTCTCTCTATATCACCATACATCATGGGCCAGTACACTGTTTCTTTTGCCCTGCATTGTGTGGCTGCCAGACCTGGATGGTCTTGATGTAGCTGAGTCACATAGTAACTTTGTAACGATGATGATATCAGAAGTCTCTGTCCTCGAAAAATCAGTCCGTTCTCAACAACAAATTCCTCGCTCATTACATAGAATGGGCGGAGTTCATGTGATATGCTCTTTGAAAGAGCTTGGCCAACCATGCATTATCATGTCAAGTCTTTGGCATGTAGGATCAGATTTAACGACAGATCGGAGTTCTTCTGTCCGTTGCGACGAGAGAACTTGAAGTGTCATTACCTCTAGTAATCAGTGAGAGGAGGCTCAGTGGACGAGAGATGAGCACGTGATAGAGCATCAGCGACAAAGAGTTCCTTGCCCCGTTTGTAAATCACATTGAGACTGTAACGTTGGAGCTTGAGCATCATGCTTTGAAGACGTGCCGAGGTAGTATGCAATGGCTTTTTGAGGATTGTAATGAGAGGCTGGTGATCAGTTTCCACGGTGACAGGTCGGCCGTAGATAAAGTCATGAAACTTCTGTGTCGCAAATACTAATGCTAACATTTCTTTCTCGATTTGGGCATACCGAGATTCGGTGGGTGTTAAGGCGCATGAGGCAAAAGCAACAGGGGCACCCTGCTGAAGACACACAGCGCCCAGTCCATGTTCGGATGCATTAGCTGAAAGGACAACGGGTTTAGTAACATCGAAGTATTGCAGAACTGGGGGACTGGATACAAAGCATCTTTCAACTTTTGGAAGGCAGAATCCTGCATGACCATTCCGCATCTTGTTTTAACAGTTCACGTAGAGGGCCAGTGACGTCACTATAGTGTGGAATGAACTTTGATAAATAGTTTGTCATGCCAAGAAACCGTTGCAAGGTCTGTTTGTCCTCAGGTTTTGGCATTTGGCGGACAGCTGTAGTCTTGTCAGGGTCAGGTTTGATGCTGTCAGCAGTCAGGAGGTGGCCTACATAAGAAACTGAGGTAACATGAAATTTGCACTCATCAGGGTTTAATTTCATGTTACATGCACAGATTTTGTGAAGTTCCTGTTTCAGTCCTGTAGTTTTCCTGTAGTGTGCGCCCCCAGACAAGGATGTCATCTAGCACGATTTGAGATGGCTGTCCATCAAAGAAATGTTCTATGGTTCGCTGGAATACTTCACTGCCGGTGCAGATCCCGCAAGGCATGCGCAAGAGTCTGTACCTGCCAAAAGGCGTCATGAATGTGGTCGGCTTAGATGAAGCCTCATCTAAAGGGATTTGCCAAAATCCGCATTTTGCGTCAAGTATGCTGAAAACCTTGCCCCCTGGCATGTCAGCAATTACCTGTTCAATAGTTTTTAATGGATGATGTGGCCTCAGCAGTGCTTTGTTGAGGTATACTGGATCTATACATAACCTTATAGAGCCATCTTTCTTTTTGGCAGCGACCATGGCAGACACCCATTCTGTAGCATCGTTTTCAGGGGAGATGACGCACAATTTAGTTATGACTTTCTCCTTCATTGCAATGGGCCTTTCTTGGGTGCACATACAGTGGGCGCTACTGACTCATCTATTTGCATGTGATAAACAACAGGCAGTTTACCAAGCACTGTGGTGTCAAACAAGTCGCTAAATTCCCATACCTCTGGCTCTTAGTTTTGCACTGCATGGTCCTAACTGTATCAGACCCATTGCTATGCTGTCTTGCAATCCAAGCAGTGGTCTCACACTGTGATATACAATGTGGAATTTGAGCTGGCCTTGTTCACAGCCTAATATTGTGGTGCCTTCAGTGTTGATAGTTTGCCCACCATATGCAATGAGATTCACTTTTTCATTAGTGTTTATGTGAGCTGAGGGTAGCTGTTGGGGGGATATAACTTTGCATTTGGCACCTGTGTCCACTTTCAGTTTTAACTGGTCAAATCCATGCTTCAGATGTAGTGTTATGAATATTTCACCACTTTGAGAAACATCATCCACTGTCTCACAATAGAAAGTAACCTCAGGGGCATTCAGGGTTATGTTAACTCGGTTTGACTTAGAGCCTCTGAATTGCGATGTAGTTCGCTTAGGATGGTAATCACGACTTTGGAACTGTGGTGCTGTTTTGGGTGATGTAGCCGATCTGCAGCACTTTGCAAAGTGGTTCCATTTTGTTGAAAGCAAAGCACTTAAGTTTATCAGAGTCGTGGTATCTGTTGCAATTGATGCAGCGATCTTGTATAGCACATACTTCAGCCTCGTGTTTCAGTTCTTTTGTGCTCTTTTCGGACTGCTCATGTAATAAACATATATTGACCACTGAGTCCAGGGTGAGTTTTTTCTCACGGAGCAGTTGTTTCCGCACACTGTCACTTTCAATCCGCTTCCATTATTATCACTAAAAGCATCACTCATCTTAGTTCATTGCGATCTCACAAAGTTCCGTTATAATCACTACACAATGAATCTCTTATTTACTGTACATCACGTCCTGCACTTATAAGATGATTCACGAGTGTGCAAAACTCTGGCGCTTTCAGCAGTGAGTGAATTCTGAAAACTCTTAACATTTCTGATTGGCCATTGCGTTGAAGAAATCAACAGATATGTATACCCTACAACTGGGCCTGGCATCGGGGGTTTCATGACTAACGATATGAAATGACTCATACGATTCATGACTAACCCCGTAGGGCATATGAGTTTCAGCGCCCTCTGGCCTTCGGATTGAGCAGTATTTACTACTGAAACAGGCTTTGGGAGACCTTCCTACTCTCTGTCTCTGGCACTGATTGCTGTGGAATTCAAACAGAGGAAACAGTTGTTCAAATCTTTTGAGGTCAAAATGATCCAACAATGGAAGATATTTTTAGAACAACACATTTTTAAAAATGTTGTTCAATCTTTAGTACCCTGATTACAGAAAAAGAGTTTTGAATGGTAAAGGTTATTTAGTTGGATTCTGTTGAATCACAAAATATGAAAGAGTACAATAAATGCAGTTTGCATTACATTTTGCTTTAGGCAGCAGCAGATCTAGGGCAGATTATTGCTCTGGAATGGGTCAGCTATGTAACCTTTCCAGTGAACGAGTCTTCTGTGCTCACAGACACTCAGCTGGAGTCATGCCTTAGAGACGGAGACAAGCACGTCTGCTTTTATAAAGAGAAAGAGACAAAAATAGATGAAATGTGTTTTAATAGGAAGTGATACCTCCATTTCAATTTATCTTCCCTGCGTTGTTCTTAGTGTTTGGCTGCTGTTTGTTTAGGTTGGAGGAGCAGTGCGTGAAGCCACAGGCTACACTGCCACCTACAGGCAGACGATCTCAATTGAAGCTGGAGAGGAAGACGGGGACTGTCTGCACATGCGGAGAGGCTTCCATCACATCATCCAGGGCTTTCCTCACTGTGTTGTCACTGATGGAGTCATCAATTTCTTTCTTGCCAGGACAGATAAAGTGCAGCAGGTGGGCTTTGACCCCCGACTAGCCCGTGTTGCGCATTTGGGTGAGTTTTCAATGGAGTCCAAACACAAAAGTAGGTGATTCTAGGATTGTGGTGTGTTTTGCAGCAACATTTTCCAAGAGCTCATTTGTTAGGGATGCACCGATATTACATTCTGAGGCTGATAATTGTTTTGTGTTATGCTGCTAATTATGTTTGGGCCAGTATTAAAACTGTACTATTTTATGAAAAAATTGTACAGTGTGAGTTTCATTCTGATTTTATTTTTATAGGTTTTTATTTAGAGATCTGCTAAGATTATATTTAACAGTGTTATTACATTTTTAGTGTGTGTGTGTGTGTGTGTGTGTGTGTGTGTTTATGTATATATATATATATATATATATATATATATATATATATACACACACACACACATTTATACACACACACACCACTATTCAAAACATTTGAAAGCAATAAATACCTAAATTATTCATTAAATATTCAGTAATATTAAATAAATTATTCAGCATGGATGCATTAAATTGAAAAGTGACAGTAAAGACATTTATAATGTTAAAAAATCTTTCAAATAAATGCAGTTAAACTTTTTATTCATCAAAGAATCCTGAAAATATGTATCACAGTTTCCACAAAAATATTAAGCAGCACAAATTTGTTTTCAACAATGATAAAAAAACCCCACAAAATCAGCATATTAAATGATTTCAGAGGGATCATGTGACACTGAAGAATATATATATATATATATATATATATATAGACAATGCCTTGCGAAAGTATTCATACCCCTTTTTCATGTATTGTTATGTTGCTGTCTTGTGTTAAGCTACTTTAAATTACTTTTTTCCCCCACATCAATCACTCCAATACACTCCATACACCATAACTGGAACGCAAAAACAGGTTTTTAACATCTTTGCAAATTTATTAAAAATAAAAAACGTAAATGATTCCATTGCATAAGTACTAAGTATATACTTAAGTATACTTATACTTAAGTATAAGTATAAGTAGCACAGGAGCATTCATATTGCTTGTAGATGTTACTACGCTTCGAGTGAAGTTAACCTGTGGCAAATTCAATTGAATGGGTATGATTTGGAAAGGCACACATGTCTTAATAAAAGGTCTAACAGCTGATAATGCATATCAGAGCAAAAACCAAGTCTGAGGTCAAAAGAAACAGGTTTGCGTCAAGCCATACATCTGGGGTAGAGTTCAGAAAAAAAATCTGCTTCATTGAAGGGTCACAGAAGCATGTAGTCTCTGTTACCCTTAATGGAAGAAGTTTGAAATAACTAAGACTCTTCGTAGAACTGGCCTTCTGGCCAAACTAAGCAGTTGATGGAGAAGGGCTTTGGTTTGAGTGGTGATCAAGAACCTGATGGTCACTCTAGTTGAGCTTCATGATCATATGTGAAGATAGGTGAAACCTACAGAAAGACAAACATCGCTGCAACACTCCACCGATCTGGTATTTATAGCGGTGTGGCAAGTCTCAATCCTCTCTTCAGTGAAAACACTTGGAATTTGCAAAAAAACAACTAAAGGACCCTCAGACTGTGAAAAACAATATTCTCTGGTCTGATGATCCTCAATTCTAAGCATCATGTTTGAAGGAAACCAGCTCTGCTCATCACCTGCAGAGTACCATCCCAAATTTAAAGTGTGTTGGTAGCAGCCTTATGCTGTGGGGCTGTTTTTCAGCGGCAGGGACTGTGGGACTCATCAGAGTAGAAGAAAAGCTCAATGCACCAAAATATTGAGATAGCCTTAATGAAAACCCAGGCCAGAGCATTCAGAACCTCAGACTGGGCAGAAGGTTCACCTTCCAACAGGACAATGACCCTAAGCACACAGCAAGAGTGGCTTATAGACAACTGTGAATGTCCTTGAGTTGCCCAGCCAGAGCCTTAGCTTGAACTCAATCAAATATTTCTGGAGAAACCTGAAAATGTGCATCTGCCCCCATCCAACCTGACAGAGCTTGAGAAGTGAGGAGAAGAATGACAGATAATTGCCAAATGCTGATGAACAAAGCTTGTTACACCAAACAAAAAAAACTTGAGACTGTAAAGGTGCTTCAGCTAAATATTTAGTTATTTAATACTTATGCAATGTACTTATTTCAGTTTTTTTATTTTAAATAAATTACGAAGTTGTGACAATTCTGTTTTTGCTTTGTCAATATGGTGTATGGAGTATAGATTGATGTGGAAAAAAGTACTTTAAAGCAGTTTAACATAAGGCAGCAACATAAAACATGAAAAAATTATGGGGTATAAATACTTTCGCAAGGCACTGTATATATACAGAATATATATATATATATATATATATATATATATATATATATATATGCTTTTTCAAAGTGACAGCAGTTACCATAAGAAATTACAAACACGCTGATTTCCTCATTTAATATTTTGTTTTACAGAGTTTTTTATTGATGGGCTCGGCTCCCTGCATGTTGGGTCTTGTGATGATGTCATCGTGAACCACGCCACCAAGATCAAGCTGCCGTGGGGCCAGTCGGAAAGTGACAAAACTTACGCGAAGTTCCGTTACCCTCCTGCTTCATCCGATGCGACACACACCAAAAATGGCCTCTTGTACTTCAAAAACCGCTTCCAGTGTCTAACACACAACTGAACACTCCATGACTATGCCTTCTTCCCTTTCTCTCATCCTCCCTCAAACAAACACTCTCTCCCTGAGTAGCTAAAGGGGACTGTGAAGACACTGAAAGTGTGCTGTGGATGTACTGTATATGGTCCCATGTGAGTATGGGGGAGTTCAAATAGGCCTCTTCTTTTGGAAAGGGTCATAATGTGATCAAACATGACTGACGGATGAGATGCTCAGTGATGGCTGATTAAGATTTTTTTGATACTTGAAGATGTCGTATTTTTGTGTCTCCTTTCTTTAGCTTTATTTTTGTTCAGAAGAATTCTTTAGATACAGATCAAACCATTCCGTAAATTATGCACGGTCATCTTTTTCTCCTCAGCCAATCATGTTTCAGTATCACATTTAAAGGGATTGTGAGACCAAAAATGAATTCTGTCATAATTTACTCACGCGGATGTTGTTTCAGACATATTAAGGAGATGTTCAAGCTCCTTAAATTATGACAGAATTGTCATTTTTGAGTGAACTAGTCCTTTAACTGATGAGAATACAGAAGAAGTTTCTTTTGAAACTGAAGAATGAAGAGAAGACTGTGGAGGTAAACATTTTTAACCATGACTTTTAGAATTTTAAAATCCAGTTAAAGGGAGACACCTTCTTTGGGACATTCACATGGAATGTCACATCAGCTCCCTGCCTGGCATTAATCATGTGTGTACTTGTGTATGTGTGTCTGTGTGCATTTTATTGAGGGTCATCTCTCTGTACGTTTGCACTAAAACAAATGGACTTCAATTGGAGAGACCCGACCCTCGGCGTCACTGAAAGAAGGAACAGACTGAACATTATTGGCAAGCTAAAACCACAGACAATCCAACATATCACTTTCATTCTCTCTCTCTCCCTCTCACTTACACACTTCGACAGATTTGTGACCCTGGACCACAAAACCAGTCTTAAGTCGCTGGGGTATATGTTAGTAATATGCATTGCTAAGAACTACATCTGGACAACTTTAAAGGCGATTTTCTCAATATTTAGATTTTTTTGCACCCTCAGATTCCAGATTTGCAAATAGTTGTATCTCGGCCAAATATTGTCCCATCATAACAAAGCTTATTCATTCAGCTTTCAGATGATGTATAAATCTCAAATTCGAAACATTTACCCTTACGACTGGTTTTGTGGTCCAGGGTCATGTTTCTCAGTGAGAGATGGAGGGGTGATTCATTGTACATCAGTAAAATCTGAATTTGATATTTTTCTGTTCTAAAGAGTGACTGTGCCAAAGGCTTAATCACTGTCCTGGTATGGCTTGTTTATTGTTTGTACTTTTTTTAATTTCCTTTATTCTGGGGTCTTTCTAAGATTGTATCCTATTGTACTGAAGCATGCAGCCTGGTTTCAATAGCAGCCAGATGTGAAGCAGCAATGTCCAATGCTGGCTTTTATAAATTTAGTTAGCATTCACACATCATAAGCATTTGTTCCAAAGGCACTTACTGTAAAAGCTTTATTTATTTTATTTGAGCTGGATTTCATCCAAAGCCAGTTTTGGGGGGAAAAGTCCAGTCAGTGGTTTTTGCTATGCAGAATGGCTGAGATAATTAACCTTACTAAAATTTTAAAAAAGCAACATTAATAGACTTTTCAGAGTAGATGACACAGATGTGCAAATAACAAAAAAATATTATCAAATAAAATGGTTAATGAAATGTTAGGCTATATTTACAGCAGCAGTCAAAAATATGGACACACCTGATACTTTATTCATTCTAATTATTTCCCACATATTATGATACATTTTGTGATGAAAATGTCAAATCTAAAAAAAAAAAAATCTAAATTAAATTCTATATTTTAGCTTCTTTAAAGTAGTTAAGCTCTGCCCAGTAATCCATTAAAAACTCTTTAAGAAATTAGGTGTTAAAAAGACATTCATAAACAGACACTATGTATATTTCTCAACAAAAATGTATCTTTAAGATCGAATGGTAATGATAAACTATTTAAATGTGTTCAAACCTTGATTTGCAAATATTTCTATATTTGATAGAAATAAATCATTTAAAAAATGACCTGGGCTGTATGCAGCCACTTTCTGTAGAGTAAAAGCACATAAGAAGCCAATGTAATTGCTGTCTAATCCAATGTACAGTACAGCATCCTCGTGCATAATTTTAGTTATGTTTGTCTGCATAATGTTTGTTTTATGTGTGTGTGTGTGTGTGTGTGTGTGAGAGAGAGAGAGATAAGTGTTTTTTTAAACTACATTAAGTGGGCTTTACATTGTCCCTCATGAACAGCATGAGGCCCTAATGACTGTTTGCTGCATTATCCATTGAACCACAAATTCTTCAAATAATGTTCAACATTATGGCCTTGTCAAAGTGAGTGTGAGTATGTGATAGTTTCCCCCTACCTTTCTGTTACATCCTGTCTAAAAACGGTGCCATACAGGAGTAAATAAGTGCAAGACTGTCCAGCAAGCCTTAAAAGAGGTTAAGGAAGTGAAAGAACACAGTGTGAAAAAAATGAGAGGTTCAGTATAAAAATCACAGGTTAAATATAACAAGCAATGGTGTAAAACGGAATTGAAAATTAACTCTTGTGCACTTGTTTTGTATCTTGAATGCCATGTGATGCTCCTCAAAGCAAAAAAAAGGTATAAAATCATTTTAAATGGTTCTTTATTGCTCTCCAGTCACTGAGCTTGTTTTAGTCCTGAAAAAAACAGGTGAAGGATGCAGTCCTGCAATACTAAGTATAGAGCTGCTATGATTCTGTTTGGAGAATGCATCCATTTATCTGCCCTGCATATTCAGGTGTAAGCATGAGCGCAATGTCAAAAAGGAGCATGTAAAAACATTGGTGTAAGGCTACTTGACTCTTATGGTTAGTTTCAGATAAGCTTAAGGTGATGGGAGCTTGAACAGATATAGGAAGCTGACTATCTGATTTTCTGGCTGTGTATTAAATGATGAGATTGACTTTTTGATGATTCTATTTCTCAAAAACCTCCCTGCTTCCTCCTCACTTCACTGCAATGATTCTGTCTCCCCATCTCTGGATTTCTCACTGTGTCTGCATGACTCCTAATTTCTGTTGGTGTTTTGTATCTCTACCAGTAGGTAACTAATTCTCTGACCCCCAAAAAAGTGTGGCTGCCTATTGATAAATTTTTTTAAAGAACATAATGGAGTATGCAAATGTCCCTTAGATATAAAAGGGGAAAAGAAAGAAAAAAAACTGTGTTTTTTCCTTTTTTGTAAATGTAAGAAAAAGCATTTGTTGTCAAATGGAATGAAATAAAGGCTTTGGTGATAACATTTTGTTCTGTTTTCCTGAAAAAAGTAAATCTGGTTATAGAATATAGACAGATGTCTGGGATAACTTGAAAATCTTTTAATTGACAGCTTTTTAAATGAAACTCAGAGTCATTCAGTGAATATACACTGCTAATGAAAATGTCTAAATTGAAATAAAAAAGTAACACATTGGATATAGCCTGATATTCTGTCTTTTTACAAAAAGGATCAAGTACACACCTGATATTTATTTACAGTACCCGACATGGCAACTGCCTAAAACCGTTCTTTGTGTCACATTACACAACCTCAATTCCAGAGAAGTTGGGACGTTTTGTAAAAATGCAATAAAATCAAGAATCTGTGATTTGTTCATTCTCTTTAACTTTTATTTAATTGACAAGAGTACAAAGAAAAGATTTCCAAAATTTTTCACTGACCAGCGTAAATGTATTTTGTAAATATGAACTGATTGATTTTGATGGCTGCAACACATTCCAAAAAAGTTGGGACAGAGGCAAAATAAAAGTGAAAAGGTTATAGAATATCCACTTTAAACTGTTTTGAAACAGTACACAGTAAGCAGGTGAATTGGTAATAGGTCAAGGTATCATGTTTGGGTATAAAAGGAGCATCTCAGTCTTTGCAAGCAAAGCTGGATTATGGCTCATTACTTTGTGCCAAATTTCACCAACTACCACACGTAATATTGTGAAAAGGTTCAGGGAATCCAGAGAAATCACAGTACATGTAGGGCAAGGCAGGAAACCTCAGTTGAATGTGATTGACCTTTGAGCCCTCAGATGGCATTGCATAAGAAACCATCATGCTGCTGTGTTAAATATAGCCACATGGGCTCAGGAGTACTTCAGAAAACTGCTGTCACGTAACACAGTCTGCTGCTGCATCAAGAAAAGCAACTTGAAACTCTGTTACTCTAGGAGAAAGCTATACATCAATTCTATGCAGTGATGCCGCTGGGTTCTCTGGGCCAGAGCTCATCTCAGATAGTCAAAAAGACAGTGGAAAGGTGTGCTGTACTCAGATGAGTCCACATTTCAACTTGTTTCTGGGAAAAATGGATTTTGAGTTCTCAGTCCCAAAGACCAAAGGGACCATCCAGACTTTCATCAGTGACAGATGCAAAAGCAAACATCTGTCATAGTATATGAGTGCATCAGTGCAAACGGCATGGGTGACTTGCATATGTGTGAAGGAACCATTGGAGGCATATATTGGGAGTTGTACTGAGAAATATACTGCCGTCAAGATGATGTCTTTCATGGGAAGTCCATGGTTATTTGATCAAGACAATGCCAGCTCTCATTCTGCATGTGCTACAACAGCATGGTTTTGTAGATTCAGAGTGAATGTGCTAGACTGGCCTGCCTGCAGTCCAGATCTGACTCTGAAAACGTATGACCAGTCATGAAAAAGAGAATCAGACAACGACAATCACAGACGGCTGAGCATCTGGAGCCTTGTTTCAAGAGAGACTGGACAAAAACTTTGCTCGCAAAACTTTAACAATTAGTATCCTTAATTCCCAAACAATGAAACATTGTAATTAAAAGGAAAGTTGATGTGACACAGTGTTAAACGTGCCTCTGTCCCAAATTTTTTGGAGAGTGTTGCAGCCATCAAAATCAAAATTTGTTCATATTTATAAAATACATGTATGTTGGTCAGTGAAAACTTTGGAAATATTTTCTTTGTACTTTTGTTAATTAAATAAAATTTAAAGAGAGTGAACAAATCACAGATTCTTGATTTTATTGCATTTTTACAAAATGTCCCAACTTCTCTGGAATTGGGGTTGTACCTCCTCATTCACAATTTCAGCAATATAGAATTAGCAGTAGCTACAAATATAATCTTTATGATCATATTCAGTCTTTCATGAATTATATCCTGTCAGTGACATAAAGTTTAGCTTATACAGTCCAATACCTTCAATTTGTTATGGTAGCAAAAAATGTAATCTTGTAGGTTCAAAATACTCCGATTGTTACCATTGTCAAATACTGAAGGTTGTGATGGATTTTCAGTTTGTGTGCATTATCATATTGAAATGGAAGGTAGAAGAATAATTAAGTTCTAATGAATGATTAAATCACTTCAGCCTTTTTTATCTGACATA